TTTATCAGCTGAAGAATTAGTGTTCCTCCCCCCAGTCTTGGTGGGAAAATGTGGAGTTCTACATATGCCATCCTGAATGAACATGTCAGTCTAACAAACAAAAAGAAATGTTCCGAAGGAGGAAAATATTTGTAGCTCAAGGTTGAAATGAGAGATCCTGGGTGGTCTCTCAGCTTGGTGGTTTTCTTGCCGATGCTTCATTACCAGGTAACATCATCAGTGTTAGAAGAGAGCAGGGTTTGCTCTCATTTTATATATTATATATTATAAAATGAGTATATAAAAGTGAGAGCAAACCCTACCCCCTTCTAGCACTGATGTTACCTAGTTCAGGTAATGAAACATCTGCAAGAAAACAGCTAAGCTCAGAGAGCACCAAGAAGAAATGTCCTTTCGCTTCCTTTTGCCCACTTTCTTCTCTCTCCCTCTCTCATAAGCAGAACTCTCTTGATTCGTCTTGATATCCAAACTAGGCAAATCAGGATATGGTTGTGGGATAGACTTTCCTCGCTACCTTCTAGCCATGTCTATCCCCTAATCATATCCTGATACTAGAAAGTAGCAAGACAGTAAATCATGCAGAGATGGAGCAGGAGGAGTATTTCAGATCAGCGCAAGCCACGCAATTATCATCTCACAGTCTTTAATGCTTTACAAGTATAGGTAGCAATAAATAAATACATGAACTAAGCAGGAAACACAATCTGCTTCCAAATTTAAATTTGAAATAAGGAAAGGCAACACTTGTTTGTGGATTAGAAACCAAGAGAAAAGGAGAGGGGAGGGGAAGAGGGAGGAGAGAGGGGAGGGGGGAAGGGAGGGGAGAGGAGGCCTGTCAATTGTTTCAAAACTCACATTTTCTAAAGTTTTCAGGAATGACAGATTCACATGGCTCATATTTAAGGGCCCAAATTTTAAATAATAAAATAATGCAGGAATTGACTGTTATTATAGTCTATGAAATATATTAAATAGGCTCATTCTTAATTTTGCACCAGCTTTCAGTGATAGATAATATTGTCAATATACACAGCATTTAAACAGTTATAACATACTATACATATTCACAAGAACAGCTGAAAAAATACTACATTAAACACCTACAAAGTGTGATACTTTATGTTTATGCTAGAAACAAAACTGATGTTTGCTAATAAAAACTTACCCCAGAATAAGTGAGCCAGTTAACTTCACAATTTTTCCTTAAAAATTAAAAGTTTAGTATCACTGCATGTGCAAAATGGATGCTTTAGTACAAACATTATATCAATAATGAGTTATATACAGAGGTTAAGCTAACTGTACTTAGTTATTATTAAAATAAATACATGTGAGTCCATTTAACTTCTAATTTAAATATTGCTTATTTATTAACTGTTTTCATGCCAATACAATAAAAAAACATTCTTGGAAGTTCTCATAGAAAAACAATGGAATATAAAACAAGTCACATACAAAAATAAAAATAATGCTGCAATAATTCAAAGAGGACAAAAAGACGGTAATATTGAATTAAAATAAATCAGGGGAAGGCTCTAAAAACAAATGCAATCCTTACCAGCTTGTGGAAAGTCAGAAAAGAAGGAATCAGACTGATCTCCTAACATCAGTACTGCAACAGAAAAGCAATGCCTCCTTGTTTCAGTCCCCCCCCCCAAAGTTCCTGAAAGTGTGGAATGCATACCAGTTTCTCACTGCTATAGCTAGTTGGTTGGACCACAGATGCTGGAGAAAGTGGATCTGAATGTATCCAGGTAACAAGCCATGAAGGGCTTTGTAGATCAAAGCCAGCACCCTAAACTGGACCTCAAAATCAACTGGCAACCAATGCACGGTCCATAACACTCCAAAAGCTCCCATATTTGGAGCCTAAAGGAGTACAACTTTTGAATATTTATCACCTACTAGACAGATAAGAGCATGAGGTAGTGATATCAAGCCTTACCTCAGGTAAGGTCCCAAATAATTAATTTAATGGTAATGTAATTAATTCCTATTCAAGGTTATGCAAAACTAAGTCCTACTTCATGGGGAGCAAGTGACAGCTCTGTGTATATGGGTCTAATCACTTAAATTTTTTTCCAGTTGGCAGTATGCCCACTCAACTTGATGAGAGTATTTCTGAGAAACATGCTTCAAATGAGAACACACAATTTGGCAAATTAACCTGGCAACAAAGCTCAAGTTGTGAATTTAAAAGAATTTACTTCTGAATAAACTTGTATAAGATTTACAACATTGGTTTCTTCCATTAGCCTTTTATATATGTATGATCTTCCTACCATCATCCCGAAAAGTTTAAATTATGGAATACGTAGCACTGTATTCATAAAATATTCTAAATAGATTTCATCATTGGAAATCATAGTTTCATTTATATTTATATATTTATGTAATTTAAGGTTACATAAGGTCATCTTACAGGTGACCTTATCAACATTTTTCTATCTAAAATTTCGGTCAAATCTTTTTTAGATGGCTTTTCAACCTTGTGTTTAGGAAAATATTCAACTCATTCTTAAATATGGCATAAATATTTAAAAGAGTTATGCAGAACAATGTCACTAAGATCTTGCTCAGAGATCTTAACTTCAAATAGGCTTTGTATTTCCATTGGCGTATATATTTCCTTTTATAGAAAAAAACCCAATAAAGTTCTTCAAAATATTTCTCCAAAGGCTACTTTCCTAACTGTCCCTAGGAAGAATATAATTTCCACTCCTTATGGACTTTTTGTGTAAAAAACAAACAAAAATGATTTATGGTTTTGATGATTAGACAGAAAGACGAGAGTCAGGAACTTAAATTTTAATTGTATTTATAACTGATGTGAAGAAAATCAGAAACAAACGCTTCATATCTTTATCCTTTTTTCTATTTTTTTTTGCATTTTAGCTTTTTCTTTTGTTTCTTCCTTTTTCATTCTATTTTAGTTTGTATTACTTATTATTCTTAATAAAATTTTCAAATAGGTATATATAATTTCCCAAGGTAGGCAAAGAAGAGATGTGCAACAAGCTTCAAATGATGAATTTATCTAGGAAATGATTCAAATAAAATAATGATAGAGTCAGGCTTGTAAATACAAAATTGCACTTACTGATATGTTTCCACGATTGATCAACTTTCCATGTTGAACCTAAAGTTCCTATCTTTCTATAGCAAACCACACAATAAGCAGCCAGAGTCATTCTGTAAAGGTACAAAAAACTGATTTAGCACATCAACAGGATTTTAAAAAAATATTTTATATATCAGTTATGCCCTATATAATTCAGAGGGAGCATAGCATTCTTTCCAAAACCATATATTGCAAGTTTAGTACAGGATTTCATGATTATAAAAATCATGGACTCTTTCAAAGGAAAAATGAATTATATCACTTTCCAAACTTTTGATAGGGGAAGCCTTTCCTTTCTAAATTTAAATGAGAGGTGCAATTTGTTTTACAACCCAAAATAATATATTTTGCTTCACTGTAATTTTTTTTATAAGGTAACTATTTTGGCTGTCCATCCTGGAAAAAGAGAGGTTCAGAGACACAATGAACAATTCACTGAAATCTAGTAATTTTGCTGCAAATCTATAGAATATTATTGGAACCATAGAAAATTATTGGGTCTTAATGATATTCTGTGCAGAGATTCAGTACAAGGAATATAGCAAAGAAACAACCAAGCTTTTGAGGGATAAGGTGTTCTACTGATATAGCATTTATTTATTTTTAAATCCTGTGTTTCCTCCTGTTATAGCACTAACTAATGCTGTCAATACTTTGCTGCTTATTCCATGGTTACCAGTTTACTCAACTAGTTCAATTTGGGGGCTGTATGTTACCCTTTACTAGTTTTCCTCAACAACCTAGGGTAAAATAAGGCAAGATAGTCCTTAGTTCAGTAACCACAAAGAATACTCGGATTCTCAGTATAAATCTACATGTTTGAATAGAGCTGTTTTTTAAAAAATAAATAAATAAATGATTCACTCAAAATGCCTAAAATGTGCCATATTTGAAGATAACGTTTAACTGTATGTTCTAACATTTTTTTCCATACACAGTACAGCCGTGGGACCCTAAAAATAAACGGCAGTTGGTTAGCAAACAAAGCTTTGTTTGTGAAAATGCCATCTGACTTCATGGAAAACAACAAAAGTGCCCAAACCTTTCAGTTTTGCAGTGATTTGTAGCTCAACCTCCAAACCTGATTAACTGCCTTGTAGATGTTTCTGAAAACAGATCCAAGAGTGTGGGAGTGGTGACTAATTTCATAGCTGAATAACAACATTCACTAGTGTGTGTGTGTGTGTGTGCGCGCGTGTGTGTGTATGTATGTATGTATGTATGTCCTTAGTGGTTATAAAAATACGAATCCCGGGCATATTTGTTCAATGGAAGAGTATACTCCAGTATAACTGGAGTATACTCTTCCCGGCATACATATACATATATTATATATTTTATCCAGAAAACCATTGCGCAACTCCTACCTACACACTTTGAAATAAAACATGCCGCAAATTGCAGCAGCCCTGCCTTTAGTGAACGTACAACAGATCGCAATTTGCAAACAGCATAGAAATGCCCCAGTTCTAATCTTAGGGGTGCGGCACAATGAAAAGAGTACGCTCTAGGCAAACAGACTTTATGGACAGAGCCACGTCTATCATTGCTGATCACAGCTATCATTATACAATGGACAAATGAATTACACGAGCTCCGTCGCAATGTTATTTCTCATTCGGGGATTTCTCCGGCTAGGCAAGGCTGTTCTCCGACTTCACAACCACGCACCAGGTTGTCCCAAACAGCCATTCTCCTCCTGCCTCCTCCCCTACCTGCCCATCTCGGATCCCCGTCCCACTGTCAACGACGAAGTCTTTCCATACCGCCCACGTTCAGACGTCAACGTGAATCACGTTACATTCCCCCAGAGCGCCGCCCTCATAGGAGCAAGCCAATCCAAAAACAATAGGAGAAAGGCGCCTGCGCAGTTGTGGACCTTACATTCGAGTCGGCGCTCTTTCTGCTCCCACTTCTTCCGGTCGGGTGGGAATCAGGAGTAACCTGGTGTGTTCGTCGCCAGGGCAACGTTGCTGGACCGGTGAAGCACAACTCCGTGTTTTGTTTTGTTATCTTGAACTGAGTGGGTTGTGGGTTGTGGGTTGTTTTTTTTCTTGGAAGGTCTTTCTCTTTTTCCCTCAACTTCTCCCTCGTTTACCCTCGTATCTCTGGCATTAAGGGGTTGCCTTTCTGCAGGACAATGTAGCTGTCAGATTTTGCGAATCCCGGGCAGCGTAAATAGTTGCAACTACTCTCTTTCAGCTTAGTTTTATCCAGGGTAGTTGCACAATAAATCCTATCAGTCTGGCCGAGGGTGATGGGAAGTGCATTTGCAACCTGCCTGGAAGATACAGATAGTAGGGCTGCCAGATGCTTTGGTAAACCATACGGTTTCTTCCCTTCATTAGCCTGAATAGGCTTCTCCAATGTAGGATTAGGGCTACCAAATCTGGGCTGCAAAAATTTCGAGTACATGATAGAGTTTTCTCTATATTTTCATTGCCATCTAGGGTGATTGAAATTGTTGAACCCAGATCAATAATCTTCACAAAACATAAAGTGACTTTTGAATGAAAGTGGATCTAGTTCTAAACAGGTAGTATAATAAACTAGATATAAATATGTCAGATTCAAGATAGAAGTAATACATGTTATTGATAGGGATTTTGTTTTCCTTTTTTTAAAAAAATCAGCATATTAAAATATTGAAGTGCATTCAGAATTATAGTATGTAATGTTAATTAACTATACAGGCTTAATCTCATTTACTTGAAAATCAGTAAACCTGAATTCAGCTTAACTTTTGCTCAATTGAGCTGGTTAGAATAGAAGCTTAACCATCAGGATGTTTGTATTGATTTTGTTCAGTTTAAGATTGTATCATTTTCTACAAATAGTTTTTCCATTTGATGTTTTAGGAATCTGACATTGTGAAGAAGATGGTGAATGTTTTGAAAGGAATACTTATAGAATGGTAAGCAAAAATATATTGGCAATGCAAGTGCTACTCCAAGCTTGTAAGAAATTTGATAACATGAGCAAGAAATGTTTATGTTGTGACATGGCTACAAAAAACAGAGTTGTGGTTGTAATCAGCAAGTGAAATAGCAAAAATAGCATACTCTTATTTTAAAAGAACACAATGTTACTGAAATGTGATATGGTATATTATTCATGTAACCTGTAAACTGAATATTTGGTATGCCTAATTCATATGATAAGGATGGGGATTATTCTGCCAACAGCTTCATTTTCTTATTACACTTAAAATAAAATTTAACTGGCTTAAGTAGCTTGTCAATATTGCCCTTAACTAATTCCTAAAGGTGTTACTTATTTAAATTCCAGATTTTAAAGAATTCACTTAGCACACAGTGGTCTGAGACAGCAATTACTATCTTCTGCTAATACTTTCTTCTGAACAATGCAAATACAGTTTAATATTAATTTTGTGAGCATATTACCAGATTAGAACCATGATGATATGGTTCTAAAAATGCCAAATCCAAACTACAGCAATCCAGATAAGGTTTTATGCAACTCTTTGCTGCATCTAATGGTCATCTAAACGTTTTAATCCTGTTTAGGATTCATTAAGAATATACAGCAGCAAAAACAAAACAGAAAAAAATTGGATAGGTACTAGATTTTTTAAAAAGGTATTCACCTTCAGAAAAAGCAGTGTGTGCATAAAAATAATGAGGCAACTAAAATGGAAGTTAAATTCAGAGGGAAAAGAAAGCTTTGAAAGAAACCAGAAGCAGGCAATTGTTTTCAGCTCAATTAAATAAAATCAATGCCAAATGCAATTCTAGCTAGTTATCTACTATACATCCTAGATACCTAAATCTAGGTTTGTTTTTTTCATGCATATTGGAAAATTTCACTCCACAACTTGGATGAGAGGTTTATATTCCTTTACTTCCTTTCTCACAACCAGCTGCTGTAAGATTCCAGCAAACATCTCAGTTTCAAAGGAAAGGAAGTTCTTTTGGCTCAAAGATTTGGGCAGCCAGCCTTTTACTCTACTACAGATAGACATGTATACAGTACAATAGTAGATATATTCAGAGAATTTCTAGCAGTTTATGTTACTATGTGGCTGTGACACAAAATGAATATATTTCTTAGGCCAGTGATTGCAAAAAGAACTCAAAAAAGATTTCACAAAATACATTAGCACAAACAATGCACTTTTCTTTGAAGTACTATTTGTTGTTGTTAGCTGCGAAGTTATGTCTGACCCATCACGACCCCATGGACAATGTCCAGGCCTTCCTGTCCTCTACCATCTTCTAAAGTCCATTTAAGCTCACACCTACTGTTTCAGTGATTCCATCCAGCCACCTCGTTCTCTGTCGTCCCCTTCTTCTATTGCCCTCAATCTTTCCCAGCATTAGGCTCCTCTCCAGTGAGTCCTTCCTTCTCATTAGGTGACCAAAGTTGAAGTATTATAGCAGCTGTTTGTTTATGCATGTACAAATAGCACTTCTTTGGGGACCGTAAGAAAAGTGGATACGCATGCACATACAGCCAGAGACAAAAATGGACAGCTTTCAAAACAACCATGTGAGCCTTGTTAAGGGTGTCGCTGCCTTAACACTTCGAAGAAAGAAAGAAAAATGGTTTGGTAGATTTACTTCTCCTTCCTCAGAATCTCTTCCAGATTGAGAAATGTTATTGGGAAAAGTATCTATTCTGAACTGATCTTATATTGAAAACTTTATATATTTGACCATCTATTTCTAAATTTAATTGCCTTTTTGATTATATAAAATCTGTGATTATGTGGGTGACTGTCACAACACAATCCTATGATTGAATAAATAACACGAGTTCATCATTTCTAATGCAATATTTTGGCCTAGTTTCAGAACTGCAACTGACGAAATTGCCATAGTGAATGAATTGTGCTATGAAAGGGACAATTGGAACATAGCCCTTGGATTCTTCTTGCATACATAGCCCCATTTCATAATCATCTGTTGCTTTGCAAGGATTGGGATCCTAATATTAAATTCAAGCTGTTCCTGAAGGGTAGAATCCAGATGATAATACCTGTTGATATTTCTCCTTGGTTTATAGCCAGTGGAATCTGCAAGTCCTAACCCCTTGCTCAGCAACCATTCAAAGTTATGATGGTGTTGAATGAGTGATACTTATAGTCTGACATCAGTTCTGTCAATTCCAGTACTAACTTTCATTTACAATAGTTGCAGCATTCTGCAATCACATGATTACTATTTGTGACTTTCCCTCTGGCTTCCCACAAGCAAATTGGAAGCCAGTAGGGAAAGCCAGTACAGAAGATGGCAAGTCACTCTGGTAATTCTCCTGCAGCCAGGAGCAGGCAACCCCACACTGCCCTGCTTGCACAACACCAACTTCTTGTGCACCCTGCAGCAATTACATCAAGTCCTGCTGCACTGGCACTCTTATGTTCCCTTCCCCACCTGGCAGCAGCAACACAGACTGCTAGCTTGTTTGCAAGCTGGGAGTTGCAACTAGCTGCTGGTTTCTCCACTGACTTTGCTTGAACATCCTCACTTAGTGATTCACAAAACCTCTTAATGATGACAATGGGGATTGCCATTGCAAAGCATGACTTCATGCTTTATAACTGCCTCACTTAGTAATAGAAATTATAATCCCAATTACTGAGGACTACCTGTTTTACATGAAACTGTTGGAAATTGTGATTCAGAGACTGAACTAAAAAATCATTACAGATTATAAGATTTTTTCAAAAACACTGGCAAATAGATTAATGCAAGTTTTGAAGCAATTGATCCATAGTGATCAATCTGGATTTATAACTGGAAGATACAGTATATGAAATATAATGTAAGACAAATTGTTAACCTAATTGAGTATTTGGATAAGAATAATCAAATTCCTGCAGCTTTGATATTTTTGGATGCTGAAAAAGCTTTTGATCAGTTAAATTGGCAATTTTTATTGAAAGTTGTAGAGAAAATGAATTTTGGAGATAAATTTTTATATGCTCTTAAGGCACAACAATCGGCACAAATTATAATTAATGGAGGATTAATAGAAGCATTTAAAATTGAAAATGGTACTAGACAAGCATGTCCATTATCCCCATTGTTATTTGTTTTAACAATGGAGATTTTACTAATTAAAATTCGTGAATCAACTACAATAAAGGGAATAAAAATAAAACAAAATGATTACAGGTTGAGAGCTTTTGCTGATGATTTGGTTGTGACATTATCTCAACCGACTGATTCGGTAAGGGATTTGATGGAAATTATAACCCAGTATGGGAAAATTTCAGGTTTTAAGGTTAATAACAATAAGACTAAAATATTACCGAAAAATATGTCTATGAAGGAAAAGGACATCTTAGCTAAATTAACAGATTTTGAAATAGTGAAAAAGGTTAAATATCTGGGAGTATATATTACAGCTTCTAATGTTAAGTTGTACAAAGATAATTATGAGACATTATGGGTAAAAGTGCAAAAGGATTTAAATGATTGGAAAAAATTACAATTATCTTTGTTGGGGAGAATTTCAGCGGTTAAAATGAATGTTCTTCCAAAATTTCTTTTTTTGTTCCAAATGATACCTATTTTGAAAAAAGATGCCAACTTGGAGGAATGGCAGAAGGGTATTAATAAGTTTATTTGGGCAGGGAAAAAACCAAGAGTTAAGTTTAAGATTATATAAGATGCACGGGAAAGAGGAGGACTTAAGGCGCCTAATTTAAAATTGTATTATGATGCAGTGGCTTTAACTCTGATTAGTGACTGGCTTAATTGAACAAATAAAAATATACTTCTTCTTGAGGGGTGGGATTTATTATATGGATGGCATGCCTACTTAATTTATAATAAGAAAGTAGATCAGGTTTTTAAATCTCATATTTTAAGAAATGCTTTATTACCTGTCTGGAAGAAGTATTATTATAGGTTAAATTATAAAATTCCAATTTGGGGGATTCCCGGACACGTTACAGAGGGGGTATCTAGAGGAGTGAATTTGGATAGGATTTCTTATAAGGAGCTACTTAGTTTGGAAGGGAAGGACTGGCAATTAAAATCTCTAGCTGAGTTGAAGCAAGAAAATATTGTACACTCTTGGTTTCAATATAATCAATTGTTAGTTGGTGGAGTTTAGATCAAAAGATTGGTATTACTTTAGAGGATGTGAATTTGATAAAACAGATTAAAGATCAAACTCGAGCTCATATAAAGAGAATTTATAATGTCTTAATAGAATTGGATTCTGAAACGGAACTAGTTAAAGATTGTATGGTAAAACGGGCACAAAATATTTAAGAGCCGATTCTATTGGACACATGGGAGATAATCTGGGTTAGAAATGTAAAATTTACTCAAGCTCAAAGTTTGAGAGAAAATTTTTATAAAATGTTTTATAAGTGGCATTTGGATCCCCAAAAGTTGCCTTGTATGTATCCTAACTTACAGGCCAAATGTTGGAGATGTGGTAGTTTGGATGCAACTTATTTTCATATTTGGTGGACTTGTAGAAATATAAAAGCTTTTTGGATTAAAATTTGGTGGAACGTTCAGAATATTTTTAAAAGAGTGCAGTACTGCAGGCCACTTTAGCTGACTGTGTTCAGCAGGTCAGCGGTTCAAATCTCACCGGCTCAAGGTTGACTCAGCCTTCCATCCTTCCGAGGTAGGTAAAATGAGGACCCAGATTGTTGGGGGCAATGTAAATATATATATACATTGCTTACTGGTGTACACCACTTAGAGAGTGCTTGCACTTAAAGCGGTATATAAGTCTCATAAATAAATAAATAAATTTGAAGTTGAATTTAATAACAGCAGCAAGGCTGCTGGTAGGGTAATATTGGAAGAAGGAAAGTTTGCCTACTATAGAAGAATGGACACTTAAAGTGTCAAACTTAGCAGAAATGGCTAAGATTTCTGCTTATTTGAAGGATTATTCACAAGAAAGATACATTTTGGTTTGTAGAAAATGGATAGATTATATTCAGAATAAATATGGGACTAAAAAGTTCCATTTATTTTATGAATAAATTTTATAATATTATTGTTATTATTACTATTATTATTAATAATTTAGTATAGTGGAAATTTTATGTAAAAGAGAGTTAAAATGCATTATATTTGTTTATCTATATAGTTGGTTAATGTTAGCTAGATTATGATTATTATATTTATTACCCTGTATTCAGTTCTGGGAAGTGGGGGTGGGGGGGAGGGGGGATGAGTTTGGGATATATTTTGTAATTTTTTGTAAAACTTTTCAATTAAAAAAAATCAGCATTATAACCTTGATGCTTGTATATATGACCTTGAGGACATATTGAAAACCACAGGCTATTATCTGGTTGGATGAAACATCTGGTTTGAACATAATCCCAACAGTTTGTACTCAATTCAAATAGGTTGGATATACTCATTCTAGTTGATTATGGTTTAATGGTTTAGCCTTTCTTGGATAAGATTGCATTCCTCTCAAAATGTCACTTCTGAAGTTGGCAGTATTCCTTGGCTTGTATTCTCCTGCTGGAATATATCCATGAGGAGGAGCAATCTTTTCTGACCTTGTATTTTAGATTTAACTTGATGACAGGACTTTGTTGCAATTATTCATGGCTTAAATACTTCCTGGATAGAATGTTAGGTTATATGCAAAGCTAACCTTGAAAAATATTAGAAATTGCAGTGACTGCAAAATGTATGGACTAACGCAGGGGTGTCAAACAGCCGGCCCACGGGCCGGATGCATCATAGCGAAACCGCGTCCACCCCATTGCCGGCAATGGCAAAAAAGTCACGATATGTCACGTGATGCTGCGAGTTTGACACTCCTGGACTAAAGTAAGATAACCAGAATATGTTGTGTCTATTTTACTAAATTCACAGTTGCTGCCAGTCTCTTTCCATCACTGATTAAATTTAACGTTTATAGCCTTAACAGTTTTGGTTTTTAGGAATCTTAACAATGCTACTTCAATGCATTTTGTTGTATGAACACCTGAGTTTTCATCTACTTAAAGCCTAGCAGATGTCTTTTGAAACATGGTAGCTGTCTATGAAATATCCTCCCAACTGAAGGTTGCTAAGTTGCACACGGTATAACTTTGGGTGTTTGGTCAGGATTGGATATTTGGGAAAATCTTGAAAATACTCTATCTCCTTAATATATTAGGATGTTTTCATAATAGTTTTCATTTTTCAATCTCATCATGTTTTATGAATTTCTGCTTGGTTGCTTTATGGCATTCAATGCATTTCATAAATATGGTTTTATTGTATTATATTGGCATTTGCACTGTAACTACTGCAGCTTAATTCATTGAAGTGTTATGTGAGATTACCATAATTTTATCCTTGTCCCCACAGTGACCCAGCTATGAAGCAGTTCCTGCTGTACCTGGATGAATCAAATGCTCTGGGAAAGAAGTTCATCATACAAGACTTAGATGAAACACATGTCTTTGTGTTGGCTGAAATGGTTAACTTCTTGCAAGAGAGAGTGGGAGAATTAATGGACCAGAACTCTTTTCCTATTACACAGAAATAAAAAGCGAGGCTGGATTTGGATACATATCTAACTGAGAGCCTGTAAATTTTTCTGTGAATCAATTTAAGGCAGATTGAAGTCACTAAGAGAAGTGAGTTACCTACATGTCAAGAATTCTCTTTTATTATTTTCAATTTCATCCTGTCTTAAAAATGCAATTATGCTAATAGTTCATTAAGCCACTGCAAATTTATAGGATTGGAGATTCTTAGGATGTTCTTTGCAGAGGTGGGTGCAACGTTAATATTGATATTCAGTTGTTCTCTGTAATATTCCCATAGGGAAAGCCACCTTAAAATACAGTATGTATGTTTTTAATAGAATATGAAGGAGTTGTTTTTTTATATTTCCAAAGAAGACTATTACATTTTGTCATTTGAGTACTCTTGAAAAAGCATACAGGCAATCCTTGACTTGCAAGCACAATTGAGCCCAAAATTTCAGTTCTAAACGAGACAGTTAAGTGATTTGTGTCTCATTTTGCAGCCTTTCTTGCCACAACTGTTAAGTGAATCATTGCGGTTGCTAAGTTAGTAACAAGGCTGTTAAGTGAATCTAGCTTCCCCATTGATTTTGCAGGTCAGAAGGTCAAAAAATGTGATCACCTGACCCCAGGACACTGCAACCGTCATAAAGATTAATCAGTTGCCAAGCATCTGAATTTTGATCATGTGACCAAGGGGATGCTGCAATGGTCAGTGTGAAAAATGGTTATAAGTCACTACTTCCACTGCCACTGTAACTTTGAACGATCCCTAAACAAACGATTGTAATGTGAGGACTACCTGAACATGCATAATGTGCAGACTACATGGTGCTGAATAGAATTGCTTCATAGCCTAGTCATTTTTAATTCACAGTAGTATATTTCACTAGGTTCAGTGAGAATTATTCCTGAATTAACGTGTAGGACCCAGTTCAATTCAGTTTATTCAATTTAGGCACTGCCCCATTTCAATTGGCTCTTACCAAACAGGACAAAGTAAATAACACAATAAAGATGAAGACAACAATATGGCAAATCTGAACAACAACCCTTAACTATATAAACATAGCCAATGGGCCACACATCATTCAGTCCAAGGCCTGGAGAACAAAATATTTTAAAAGCTTGTTGGGATGCCAACAGGGTGGGAGCAACTCAAACCTCCAGGGGAAGCTGATTCCAGGATGGCAACTAGGATATCATTTTGAGCTGAACTTTATTTTTAAGTTTTAACTAAATAGTAAAACTTTATAAAGTAAAACTTTAAATAGTAAAATTTTAACAATTTCCTGTTCAACATTTTATATCATTACTATGAACCGTCTTGAATAAAAACAACTAATTTTAAAACATTCATCAATGCATGACTGTTCAGACATGCAGGACTGTCCTATGCACATTTATTCTGTACATCAATGTTATTTTATTATTCATGGAATGATACTTCTAAATAAATTTCCATATGCTTGGATTGGAGATAATATAAATAAGTGGCTATTGGTTTGGAACTGGGCTAAGAGTTGCCCAAAGAATTTACAGAAATTGCTCTCCCATTTTCTCTAGTGAGAGCATACATTCATAGAAAAACTAGCTTTAACTCTTATGTAAATTGTTGGGAACTACTAGGGTATTTTATGTAGCCTTTTAAAAGTTTTAAGTAATTTTCCAAACGTATGTTGATATATAGACTGGATGAAATATTTAGATTTTATGCTTATACAGATGTTAATGTACTAATTTATTAAGCATACTGTTTTCTCTTTCAGTCCCAAAGGTGAAATATTTGTGACATGCAAAAGTGTTAAATTGAAATAAAAGTACTTGAAAATATGTAATTCTAGACAGATGTTAAAATTGACTAATATTTAAAAGTGTTCATGGCCCATAATAACCAAATAATATTTGTAGCAAAGATTTAAAAAATACTTGTCAAAGAGTTATAATGTCACATCATAGTTTGTTGTTAATAAATGTCAGGATGTTCAAAAGGTTGTGTATACTATATTACATGTACATTATACAAAACTCTTAAGCCTTTGTTTCCCTATGTTACCCTTTTCTCTGTTATATGTCCGGCAGTCTTCAAGAACTGGAAACAATTGAACAGAAGAAAAAAAAGATATGGGAAACCTAAGTGAAAGTCCTTCCTCAGCCATGCTGGTTGGTTGAGTAGCTTCAACTGAGGCACTTTTTTTTCACCCCAACCCAACCTAACTTAACCTGCAGTAAGAGAAACATTCACAATCTGCAGTGTAAGACTCACTTGCAACTCCTCCATAGCAGAGCCTTTTCAGAACTTGTAAACAAATTGTGATTATTAATGTGATTTTTTTTTCTATACAGTCATGTCTCAGAGACTGCCTGGACAAGTTCCTGCAAGTTTCTTGGCTAGCTTTTTCAGAAGTGTTTTGCCATTGCTTCCTTCCTAAGGCTGAGAGAAATGACTGGCCCAAGGTCATCCAGCTGGCTTTGTGCCCAAGGGGTATTTCATGTTAGATCATATATAGCTGATAGCACTTGAGCTAAAGGTTTGATAATCAAATCAAAATTTACAAACATGGCTTGATACAAAACAGATCAACTATGTCTCTCTTAAGCTTGAGACCACAAATTATGGTTTATGATGTGATTTTAAGGTCATAATTTGGAGTAGCACTTTGAAAAAAAGCAAAATTCCCAAATATGAACTGTCTACATGCCTGCAAAACACAGCAGTTTGCATATGGTTCCATACCTGGAAGCAAATCCTGAGACTTCCTATTTATTTATTTCCATCCTAATAATCTGTTTTTTATCTGAACTTATCACCAGTATAACATTAGTTTATATAAAATTCTCTAGTGCATTTTATTACAAAAAACATAAACCATTGCTAGCTTATTCATTTCATTCTAAATATTCTGAAATAGTTTATGGAAGATAATTATACTCCTTTGTCTTCTCCACCAAGTGCTTGATTTGTTACCTTTAAATATATTAATTGGTCAGAAATACTGAAAAATAACAATGAAAGTTTTGTTGAATGCTGAATTTAGACATAGCAGTTAAACCATAATGTAGTTCATTTTACCTTGCTTTACACATTCATGATGTGTTGATTACAGCTGAATTTTATGAATAACTCATATTTATATGATTAGAACAAACAATGGACTAATGGAACATGTAGCTATAAAAGATAAAAAGGTCTCTAGTTTAAGTGTGCTACCTTACTAGAAGCCTACATATTGTTGCACAAAAAGACCCTGGTTGAGATCATTTGGTTTCTTTTAGAGAGGATAAACATTTTCCTGTGGTGATCAGTAGCATAGCACCTGGCACATATGTTGGGGGTCAGGGGGTGTCCAAAGTTAAGTCTGTACATACAGATATACAGAATCACTAAATTTCACACAGCTTCTTTTCACATAAGCATTTTTAAATATATATATATATTTGGCCCTCACTGCATTTTATATTGGAATTTGCTACCTAAAAAATTTGTTAAATTCTGCTATACCATTTGAAGAGAGAAAAACTTGGACTCTAGAAACTATTGATTCCTTTTTAGAATTATGCTGTGTACATAATATCATCTGTGCTTAATCATTTTTTAGTAAATCACATGATTACACTGACCACTATATAGCTAATTTCTGAAATCTAAAAAACAGAACATTTTAAGCCGCTTCTGTAAGCTTAAAAATACATTTTTTAAATTCTTCCACTGTGCCCAAAGATTTCCTTTTAATTTAAAAAGAACACAATCAACTGACTGTCATGGTGATCGATTACAGTTCATAATTATAATGCATGAGCCACTTTAATATGCTTTATAATCTTCAAGTTTTAGAATAATAACTTAGTCACAAGCGTCCCCATTTTATGGCTGGGAATCAGATTCTGCACTGCATGTAACTAGCAGCTTATTGGTGACAAGATATTTGAAATAGATTCAAGTTCATTGCTCTGCTTAATGAATCACATTGCTATTTGCTCTCCTTCCTATAATTTTTCTTTACAATACTTTTTGTCATTTTTGCTTTCACTTCTTACCATGGTTGGAAGAAAAATGAATTTAACTCCTAGAGAAAAAGAAAACTCTTTTTCTGATATTTGATCCCTTTTTGCTTTATATCTAATCTTTTACATCTGATGTAAGACCTACTTCTAGACATCTTTTAGCTTCAGTCTTGTCACGGAACATACCAGGAAGAAAAGCTCTTACCCAATTTATTAAAAGAGTTGTTGAATATCTGTGAGTCACACATTCATTCTTTTAAAACTCAGGTTAATAGTTGCTTTCGAATGAATGGCAATGTCTATGTAATGTAATGTAATGTAATGCCCATGTTTCTAGCTCTGATAGTTGATCAAGCTGTTAGCATTTGTCTTTTCTTAACTTTGATAAATTTTGTTTTCAAAATGCCTGGCACAATATAATTTGGAAGACAAATAATTTAGTATGAAAAGAGACTCCTTACTTATTATAGGAGAATTGTTTAAAACAGAGCTAGCCATATGATAGGTCATATTGTTGTATGGTATTTTCCCCATGATTTCTGAATGAGCAATAGCTACTTTGCTATCACCAAAATTCAGGTTTTATTCCATTGGGTTTTTTTCTCCTCTGAATTTCTCCATCTCCCTGTCCCCAATTCCATTTGCACATCTTGATTGGGTTCCAGCACCTATCATTAAAATTAAAATCACTTGCATTTATGAAAACTTCTTGCCTCTGTACTGTAGCAAATATTAATCTCAAATTTAAATTATATAAATGTGTATCAACAGGAGATAATTCACCTATGCAAAAAAGTTCAACAATGAATGCATTTGTTGCTCTGCCATTGCCACAGAAAAGATAGGAAAAATTGGGAAGGAATGAAAGTGATAGCCATATTCTGTAGCTTTGAAGGCAAAAATGTTTCAACACAAAAGTTTGACTAAAAGTGTTGATAACGTGTGTTACATCTATAAAATGTTTCACTTTTGCCTTTTCCTCAAAAGTTAGAATCAATTAACTTAATTGGAAAGTACTTACATTGTACAGTAATGAAATAAAGATTTCATTTATATTACAGCTGTTTTGTGTAGAAAATTAGTTTTTAAGACATATATGCGCATTTCACTTATTTAAGGTTTGTTTGAACCCTGTGTGTTTCAAACCTGGTGTAATAACATTTAAAGGTAAAGTTTTCTCTGAGTCAAGCTCAATTGGTGACTTTGTTTATACATCCATGTGAGTTTCTGGCCACCAATAAAGTTGTTTGCCATCACCATTCAGGCTACTTCTCTTATGATTTGTGTAGGCCCTCCTAAGACTGATAGATTCAAAGTTTTTCACAAATGAACAAATACAGAAATTTTTAGACCATAAGTTTCCTCCAAGAACTTGGTTCGTCTCAGGAAGACTATCCATCAACTGGAATAGTATAGACAAGGAAGGAGAAAAGGTTGTGGAATCCATGGTGGTGGAATGCCAAGAAGCTATGAAGAATGAAGATAGCATAGTAGCCAACTAGCAGAAAATGCATTCTGGGCAATTTCAACATGAAGTACCTAACTAGTTTGCAGCTCAATCCAATATAGTTATAACACATTCCAAATCCAGGACATAAGGCTATTTAGAGATGATTGATAGTGATATCTTTGATGGAATATCTCCAAGTTGTTGCTTTTTTACTAGCCAATATCAGGTACATTTCTTTAATGCCCTCTTATCTCTACTCAAGCCAATTTTGCAATTCAGGCTATCAATATCTTGTGGAAAAATAGATAAAAAAGAGTAAAAGAGCAGCATACTGGTGATATATATGTTGATGTAACTTTTAATTAAATACATACTTTATTTAAAATATTTAAAATAAAAACAATCTTTAGAATATCTGAAAGATCCATAAGAGCATAAAACATGCATAATTACAAACTATTTTTTTCTCACAGAAAAAACCAAAAGAAGATGGGGAAACATCTGTTCTTCTTTCAAATAAATAATTAAAGCAATTTTTTTATTTAAAAAATGATGTCTTAAGAATACAATTTCCTTGCCTTGAGGAAGAGACGAATAAGAATTGAAGATCTCTGTTATTTTTAGCAATTTCTTCATTTCATTTTTTCACTGTAGAATTCTGGAGGTGGAATCAGATTGGCGTTGGGTGGATCCAAAATTACTCCATTTCTTCATTTGGTCCCAGAATGGCTCCTTCTTACATGGGTCCTACCCCTTTATTCTCCCAGGTGAACACTAGACAGGTATAGCTAATTCTTCCACAAACACTCCTAATAAATAATGAGAAGTATTTCTGAGAGGGGAGGGAATTTATTCATAGCCCTTCTGGATAAACCCCCACAATTTCCAATCTTCATTACAAAAAGGTAGTTTCTATGCTTCTGGAACCAAAGGAACAAAGAAAAACATAATTCTCCTTTGCCTGTTTGTAAGGGGGAAAAAATCTTCCTTTTCAATGAGTTTAAACAACCAATGAATAATTTTATCAAAGATGGACATGCACAGTCCAGAGATTTTTAAAAACATCTTTCCTTCAGAGAAATGATTGCTTAAAAAAACCAAACATCCAGAGGAACTGTACATTTATTCCTAAATAAAAGGTAAGTGTATTCCTGATGCAGTTCTTTAAAACTGTGTTTATTTTTTGTTTCTGAACTTTTAATATTTTTTCCTGTCAATGAAGATAACTATTACAACATCCTACTCAGAGCATCCAGGTTCATGAAATGGCATTGTTTTGTCTCCTAGACTGGTATGGGTGATGTTATGGGATATGTCTGAATGTGGTAAGGGTGCCTCTCTCTCTATCTCCTCATCCATCCATCTATATTACTATATGTGACTTTTTGTGAAGCTAAGTTCTAGGGCAGTGGTGGTGAACCTATGGCACGGGTGCCAGAGGTGGCACTTAGAGCCCTCTCTGTGGGCACGCGCTGTCGCCCCAGTCCTAGGCCTTCAGCTGGGTTTTATAAAACCTTTTCACTTTGGGCCTCCTCCATCGTGTGGGGAAAAAAAGAAGTTCAGTCAATTTCAACTTCTTGTGGGGGGAAAAAAAAAGATCTTGCAAAGTTGGAATTGATTGCCATTACCACCACAGCCAGACTGCCATTACCACCACAGCCACACCCACCCAATTGGCCACACCCAACCAGTGGGCCACACCCACCCGGCACTCGACGATGCATAAGTGGGTTTTGGGTTGCAGTTTGGGCACTCAGTCTCTAAAAGGTTCGCCATCACTGTTCTAGGGAACAGATGGAATTGCTGTTGTTGTACTTACCCCCATTCATCTTATGGCAAGGTTATAGATAGAATTTCCCAGGATCATGCTACTGGGGTATTTTAATCTTTGATCTCCAGGTACAGAGTCTGAAGAGGCTCAGGAGTTCATGGCCATGAAGCTCTTACCCTAGCCATCAAAAACCCAATACTTTACGAGAGTCACACCTTAGGTGTGTTTTATCTTGAAGCACTATATGATATGGACTGAACTTGGGAAATGTTAATAATTGTCCTCTATCATGGTCAGATCATTACTGATTGGGACCATCCAAAGTGCCTGATACTCATAAGGACCTTGGGGAATTCCGTGAAACTGTGTTACCCCAATTTGACTGAGGCTTTAGTTGTCACTTGAAATGAGAAGATGACATTGGCTTTCCATCAGACTGAGTTTGTGTGGCCTCTTCCTGTTCATTGATTTCAGGGGATTCTCTGATTTTCAGAATTTTTGAAAACAAAGCAACAGAAAAGATGCCTGGGGTACTGCTGGAGACAGAGAAGGAAATACTTAAGTCTATGTTAAGGACCAAATTGCAGCATTAAGAGCAGTAGAGTAAATCTGCAGAGTGCTGGCCAGCAGCTGTGTTCAAAGTGACCTGTCCCTGTTACAGAATAGTCAGAGGAACATCTGCAGGCTGTTGTGACAATTATTTTAGATATAATTGATAGATATGGGTCATCTGAATTCAGTTTGAGCTGAACCCGAGTTTCATATCTTTTTGAGGTAAATTGAAGCACTGTCTGGGACTGCCTGGAAAACAGTTTGAGTCTTTAAGTCTGGAGGACAAGTCTGGTACCGATGTGGCCACCAGTTTATTAGATCCAATATGCCTCCTGTGAAGCACTGATTTACTCAACAGCACTGGATAATTTCCAAACAATCTCCAATCTTTTTCGAGAGGATTATAGAGAAGATGGTCAAGGGGCAGTTAAAGGAAGCTCTAATGGAAACAGACAGTTGGGTTTCAATCCTGGTCATAGTACTGAGGTGGCATTGATTATACTTGTGGATGACTTCTGTCTGTATGGTCTGGGATGGTTGTAGCACATTCAACTAAGCATTCTTGATCTCTCAGTGATTCTGATATTCTTCTGAACTGATCCTGGTATTTTGGATTGGCTCAGGAGGATAGAAATGGGAATGGTTAATCCTCACCCTGCTGGTATCAACATGGCTCCAAATACCTGGTTCTAGATGCTGGCCCAACTGTAAATTATATGAGTTGCGTATCTGGCTCACAACATAGTACATTTTATTTCATTGTGCTTTATCATTTGATCAGTTTTCTTTGCATTTAATGTTTTTAATCCTTGTTAGCTAGCTAGAGTTGTCTGGCAAGAGGAGGCTGTATAAACTGCATAAATTGAATAAACAATTAAAAAAACATATATATCCTACATTTCCTTCAGGATGGCACTCAGAATGATTATTACTTTCATTGGACTTCATCTGATTGACTGACTAAAAGCAACAAGGTCTTACTTAGCCTCCCACACTGCCCTGAAAAATAAATTGCCCCAAATATATAGTCCACCTACAGAAAAACCGGACAGATATGGAATAGAATAATTGCATAGACTAGTTCCAGATCTACTGTACAATACAGCTTTGTTTTCCACCACCCATGATGAATTCTGGAGGACATGAATGGGTTCGGGAGCGTATTAAATTTACTTTTTCTGCTTCTGGGGAAAAAAAAAACAGGCTGCCACCAAATAGCCTAAAAACATAATGCAAAACACATTATCTGGGATCTTAGGTGTTAAGATAATAAATAAGGCTGAATCGCATCGTTTTTAAAGGGTTACTCTTCAATGCACCGATTCGTCATAAAGCAATGAAACGGCCTTCTTACATTTTAAAAACAAAATTCTGAAACGTTGTGCCAGGCACAGGCCTGGAAGGCCGAACCCGATGAGCCGGGCATACAGCCACTCTCTAGCCCGCCAACCACCCACCCCACCCCAAGCCCCCTCCAGGAACCGTTTCTTGGCAAAGGCCGAGGCAGGAAAACGGCACTCTGTACGGGCATGCAGAAGCCCTCGCCTGCCTTGGTGTTTCTGGTCTGAGCCGCTGGCTGGCCTGGGAAGGGCACGGGCGTCTGGCTACGTACGGCTCGGTAGCTCCCTTCTTCGCCTGCTGCAGAAGAGGAGAGGGGGGAGGGGACAGAGCCGGAATTATGGGGGGGGGGGGGGAAATAACATGTTGGGTCATGTGGCTGCATCACGTGAAAGGGGTGTCAGGCCCAGCAGCAGCAGCAGCAACAGCAGCAGCGGCGGCTGCACGACCTGAGACGGAGATACAGACAGACGCTGGACGCTGGGCTTGTCGGGAGGAGCGACAGGCACGCAGGGAGGGCGGAAGCCTCACCGGACGAGTTCCAGCAGCTACTAGCTGGCGCTGCCTGTCTGGTCTGCTGGCGAGGTAAGGCATTCATTTCCTCCCACCCACCCCCCATCACCACCACCAGCACCTTCATTGCAGCTGCCCACTCCTCTTCGGTGTTGCTATGTAGGAACTGGGCTCTGTCGCGCTCCTTCCTTCCTTCCTTCCTTTATCCCTCTTTTCCCTTCCATCCATCTCACCGTCCCCTTCGGAGGATGCAGGATCTGTGCCTCTGGGCGGGAGACTCTCGTCTCCTCCCCTTCCCCTCGCCTTTATGTCAGATGCTCCGGCTGTTGGCGAAGGATAAGCGGCTGTTTTGCTTTCTTGCTTTTGATCGGTGTTTTCTCCTTTACCCCCACGAAATGATTAGGGAAGCGATGTGGGGCAAAAGAGTCCGGGATAGCGGACGCAGGCTGGCTGGGAGGAGTGGGTGGAAGTGCCTGGGGGTCCGGGAGTGGGGGTGGCAGGAAGGATGGGAGGGGGTACAGGTGGCGCGCAGGGAGTCTGGTAGTTTAGGATTTGTGTTCTTCTATGCTGATGGGCTGCCTGATCTCATTCTCCTCTCTTCCCCTCCCACCCTGTGTGTGTGTGTGTGTGTGTGTGTGTGTGTGTGTGTTTATACACCCGGGTCTATTCAGTCAGGATATGTTGAAGAAAAGACAGCATCTCTAATGGAGCCCCCTTTTTTGAACGGAGAAATGAAGGGTGGGTGAATGGGGAGAACAGGTTTGCAGCAGAATCCTCTCTTCCTGAAACACCTTGTCTCCACCTCAGGAAGATTGAGTCTTAAAACCTACTTTTGGATTTCAGCTGGAGGATGGACATCCAGTATTGCTAAGTGCTGCTATCTGGCAGCCACCGCTCAATATATGGAAGTTAAGAGCTTTAGGTGCTGTGGGGGAAGGGAAGAAAATAAACCCTTTTGTATCTTTTGTATCTCCTGTATCAGATTTACCCCAAAGCAAGTCATATTTAGATTTAGGTGTTTGTTTATACAGGTAGTCCTCGACTTACAACTACAATTGACTCCAAAAGTTATGTTGCTAAGTGAAACATTTAAGTGAATTTTGCCGTTTTACAACCTTCCTTGCCACAGTTGTTAAGTGAATCACTGCAGTTGTTAAGTTGGTTACCCGGTTGTTAAGTGAATCTGGTTTCCCCATTGACTTTGCTTGTCAGAGGGTTGCAAAAGTTGATCACATGACCCTGGGACATCACAACCGTCATAAATATGAACCAGTTCCAAGCATCTGAATTTTGATCACATGGTGATCTTTTAATGGGCAGGCTTTTCCCCCTCCCTTCTCCCTGACTTTTGTTGTCTGGTGTATTTGCATTGGATCTGTTTTGCAGCCAATAGGAAGGAAAAGGTCATTCGGGGAGAATAGCTGTACTTTTTAGAGGAAAACCACTGTATTAAGCACACTTTAAAAAAACAACAACAACCCTGATTATAGCCACCAGTCCATGGAGTGAAAAATCCAGATCGAAAGTTTGATAACATCTCTTTAGCACCAAGCATAATATCTTCAGAGATGTACAATTTTCAAATTCTCCAGAATTTAAGTAGTATGATTTAGTTGGGTTAAGAAACTTATTTTTGCCATAATTAATCTTGTTTTTCCAAAAATATCCTTTCTTGAGCTATATAAGTTTTCTTAAGTGCTTGTATAAGCGAGATTCAATGCTCTCCAGATCCATTCGGATACCCTTTCAAGGTCTGACTCATTAAGATTTTAGATTACAAGAGCTTTATATCTCCTTACCCCATCACAGTGTCTGTCCCATTGTAGAATAATGTAAAATAAATAAAACACTTGCCACACCGAAGATGATTACAGCATTTTTCTTTTAGCTGTGAAATAATTTGCTTCCCATCTCAGATTAATTTGAATAAAAAGCACCTTTGCTGAGGACTTGAATGCTAATCCAGAAGTTTAATTGGTGATCTATGGTTTCTTGGCATTCTGGTATCTTGATTTTGAACTTTTTTTAGAATACTTATTCTGACAGTTTAACCTTATATAATTAAGTCCATACGGTTAGAATACTGTTAGCATGTCTGTTGGGAAATTGTAGTCTTTTGATGGTAGTGTTTTATCTGACTTGCTATAGACTTGATCTTCCTTGAAAGTATATATTCTTACTCACTTTAAAAAAAAAAGTGGTCCCATTTCTTTGATACAGGATTGGAAGCAAAAATGGCTAAAATGATGATGTAATCTTTCCAAATGCTAAGCTATATTTAGTCAAGGTGAACTTTCTTGAAGTTTAATGCATTTTTTCATGATTAGAGGGCAATGTTTCTTTTAATGATCTGAGTGATCTGAAGAACAAAGCCATATGCTGGGAAGCTGAGAAAAAGGCAATCTTTGCAAGATAAATTCTTAATCCCAAACATTACAGTTGAAATTTGGGCAAGAGCACCTTTTTATTTTTAATAGTTCATAAGTCAGCCTCACGTTCAGGCATGGCCAGTCAGCATTTTTTCTCTCATGGTGCCCATAAGTAGGAGAAGAGACATTTGTCTCTTCAGCCACTGGTTCTTTGCAGCTTCTCTCAACGGGAGGTAACCCTAATCTCAAAATTATTATATCTTGCTAGACCTGTCCTTCATGAATTTATATATTAAATCTTAAGTGCAACCAAGTTAATGGCCATCACCATATCTTATAGTAATGCATTCCCAAGGTTAATTATACTCTGAAGTATATACAGTACTTTCCTTATATTATTAGCATTTTATATTTTAACCTTAATGACCCCTAGCATGGTCTACCTTTTCCACAATGTGGCATGTACTTAGCATCTCCACTGTGCTACCCACTGTGATCTAAAGATCTTTTTCCAGTTAATTATAAGCTGCTCAGAACCCATCACTGTATATGCCAAATTAGGTTTGGGGTCTTGGGGGTGGGAAGGACAATATTTAACTGATTTTGGCTGCATTTGCTATTTGGTTAACCATCAAGGGATACTTCTAGACCTCTTTAAATAGTATAGTGTTATCTGCCAATTCTCTGCTTACCCCAGATGAAGATAATTCACAAACATTAAAAATCATCTATACCAACACAAATTCTTGAGGAACTCTACTTCTTACTTCTATCTGATGAGAAAATAAAATTCACATCAACAAGAAAAGCATCCAGTAGGGAGTATATATAGTATATAAATTGGAAATGTATCATGGATGTTCCACAAATTTGTATATCAGCTTTTCTTCTGCATCATATAATTTGCTGCTTTAGCACTTCTAATTGGATTGCAACTAAAATTTAGAAAAAAAAAAATAACTGTAGCTGCAAAACCTATTTAAGAATAATGATAATGATTGCAATAAAGGAATTATAAAGAATAAAAATGAAATTTCTATTTCCTAAAATCACATTTTTACTAGACATTCAGTTATATGAATAGAGGAGAAATGACAAAATTCTTGTGCTCCTCATCAAATTTTCAGGAGCTAAGGGATAAGGTTCAGAAGCACTATTAAATCAAAATCCATCCCTATAATTTGTACAGTTATTAGATGCCTCATTTTATAGATTTATAAGCCATTTCATAATTATGATGCATAATTTCTCTGTGCAATAAATTGGCATGCACAGAAGTGCATATTTGTCCTTTGAGCGTGATACTACTATCTCAGTAGTGTCCCTGGGGTTTTTCTTAGCATTTTCTGTCTAGCATTTTCTAATATCTTGATTTAAAAAAAAATAAGATGAATAGTTTGGTTTAACCCTAAGATGAGAGATGATAACAGCATGATTGAGAATGAGCTGAGCATGATATGAGATATGCTCAGTTCATCTCTCACTTCAATCATGAAGTCACTCAATAGCTTTAAATAAATCACTCTTTCACACTCTGAAGACAATTAGTATTGTTCTAATATAGAACTATTGTTAGGATTATATTGGAGATTCTAGAACATAAGGAATTTATCGTATACATATGTTGTGTAAAGATTATCTTAGTAATATACTATAACACAAAGAAAGACAGTGCAAAAATTGTTTTTTACACCTGCTTTCTCCACCTACCACCTTAAATCTCCTGAGATCTCTATCCCACAGACTGGGAGGCACAGCCCCATGAGGTTCTTCTCACAGTGAGAAGGTAAAACTATAGGAAGTCCTTATTTATCTGAATCTAACCTTATGGCATGATGGTGATGGTTGCTTTTTTAAAAAAATTGATGTAGGTAAGGTTTTTTTTTCTCAATCTGTATTCTTCAGATATGTTGGACTACAGCTCCCATAATCTCTAGCTGAAATAAATCAGATGTGATCTCAGAACCACTGAACTATATTTTTCAAAGATCCTGGAGCACTGGGGAATTACCAAAGGACTGGAAAAGAGCTGATGTAGTTCCCCTCTTCAAAAAAGAAAAAAGAATAGATCTAGGAAACAACAGACCTATCAGCCTGACCTCAATACCTGGGAAGATCCCAGAAAAGATAATCAGCGAGCATCTAGAGGCAAACAAAGTCATTACTAAAAGTCAAAATGGGTTTGTTAAAAACAGATCATGCTAGACACATCTTATTGCATTCTTTCGCCCAGTTACAAAATTAGTGGACTAGAGGAATGCTGTGGATATAATTTTTTTGGATTTCAGTAAGGCATTTGATAAAGTTCGTATAGAGTTTCCTGCCTGAGCAGGGGGTTGGACTAGATGACCTCCAAGGTCCCTTCCAACTTTATTATATGTTATTAAATGCAAGAGTGAAATCTTTCTAGCAGATGAACTTAAAACATTCCCTCCTGCTAACTTTGGGCTGTTCTTAAGAGTAAACAGAGAGAAAGAGGAGAACAAACAAACAAACATTTTTCTTCACTCTGTTTGTTGGCCAGACAGAGTGAGGTACGGTATTTCCTTTTTGTGGTTTATTTTAAGCAAATTTTCTAGCAGAATTTTAAAATTCTTTTCTCTTTGGATTTGAAACAGTTAGCAGTCACATTTACCTCACACACAAAGACTTTGACAAACATATACACAAAGACAAGGAAAACAGAGAGAGAAACAGAAGCGTTAGTTCTACACATTCTAGTCATTCCCACCATAAATTTCAGATAGCTCAAATTAGGGAAGGCACACATTTTAAACATGCCACGTGGTTGCATAGAGAGAAAGAGAGAGAGAGAAAGAAAGAGAATCACTATCTTATTTTCCCTTTTAAGTACCTTTATTTAGCCAAATTGGTTCCTAGTTTCATCCTTCAGCAAAGCCCACTCATTACAAATTTTTCTTGCTCGTTTCTTTTTCATGCCATCCAGGACAGGCACCTGCCTCTCGTCCCATGCTTCGAGCAAATCTCCAATTGGTGTCCTAATTTCCACCCT